AAGGTACAAACAGCAAAGGGGAATAAAGAAAGAGAGAAAAGGTGAATAAAGCAGATTTGAGTTACTCCACAGTGTATTTTACAAGCAAGGGCTATTTTCACTATACCAACGCTTAAAGCCAAGTAGACTATTTTTTAAACTGAGAATATAGTCTCTAATTCTTTCTCCACAATGATGTATACACTGTCCCTAAAGACTCAGTTCAATACGGTATAGATGCTTTGTAAGTAGTCCTAAAGTGGCATGTTACTTTGGGGGTTAGGGAGAAGGTCATTATAAATGCAGGGAAGATGACAAATGCTTTCACAGTGAACTCTAGATTGAAGTCAGTACCAAGTAAGAAGTGCTTTACTTTAAGCAGGGATAAGTCATGCCAACAACTGCAGAGCACTCTAGGGCAAAACAAATAGACTAAAAATAAACCCAACAATCTTTCCATTTCCTCCCTTGCCTATCAATCCTCTCACCCATCGCTAGCAACTAGGGACACAAAGATCCTCTGGTTCCTTAGGGGGTGACAGTTTTAGGGAGAACCAGGCAAAGAACCACATACAGGGACCAGGTGGCCCAAACCTCCCCCAAAAAGAGGAAAATTCTGGAAATTCAGCGTGGCCTGATTTCCTCCCCTCTCCACAATGGAGGAAGCAGATGGGACATCTGTGCAGCCTAAACTTCCACATGAGAAATAGTAGTGGACTAACCCACCCAAGAATGGGCACAAAAAGTTGTACAAGTGCACACACAGACATGTATGACATGAATGTTGTATTCGAGGGATATTGAGATTTTAAGTGTCAGGATATGTCGGGATTTTGACCAGGGCCTACTCAGCCTACAGTAATGAAAAGATGATCAACCTGCAATTCTCTGTGGTATTCCCTCTATTAGCCAATGGTAAGAACAACTGGCAGGCCTTCACCACTATAGAAAATTCAATAGAACAGATTTTCAACTAGCAGTCAACAGATGAAGACAGTACAGAAACAACAATGGTTCCCAATGCAGATTACAGTCCTGGTATCGGGGCTAGTTCAAACAAATCCGGGGCCTAGCACACTATTCAATTAGGTCCCCCACTGCCAGGGGGTAGTTCAATATGTGACCTGCTCTCCCTCTCCTACATACTCCAAATGGTTCTGCAGCCAGCTGGGTGGGTAATGGAAATAGGGAATATGGCCCTAACTGCTGTGCATTCATGGAGAACAAGTGGAAGAAGGTTACCAACTAAACCAAACTCGAAGCTGAACCGTGATAATAGAATCATAGGGTTAGAAAGGGTCACAAGGGTCATCTAGTCTAACTCCCAACAATTTTTTATTCCCCATTTCCCAGGCCTGCACAGGGATATCCTTCCTCCCAAGGAATAGCACCGGACCCCATCAGTAGCTCCACTGACTCAAGAGGGAACACTCATGGTGTAAGGTACTATTGATGTAACCTGGTTAACGAGACAAAAGAGACCCTGATTCCCCACAGGCCTCAAACTGGGACTCAAAGGGTATGAGCTGTACACCAGAGCAGCAAGGTATAATTTCCTGCTCCAACAGACATACCTGTGCTAGTTCTGATTGGGCTATTGTGCTAAAAATACAAGCGTAGCCACTGCAGCATGAGTAAGGGGATGGGCTAGCTCCATGATCTCAGATGGGATCATACTCAGGACAGCCAGCCCATCACTCTGCTGCAGCTATACTTCTGGTTTTATCATGCTAGCTGGATCAGGGCTGGCTGGGTACATCTACTCAAGCTGAAAATTGCATCTCCCAGCTCCAACATAAACATACCCAAACAAACTTCATAAATTAGCTTAACTAGTTAAGGAATCAGAGAAATATAAACCCGTTACTTTACCAGGATTTCTCTGAGGAATTCTAAAAAATAGGTGGTATTGCTCATGTTACCATGCAACAATTCTTCCCAATTCTTGTTTAAATTTTAGTACTATGGAGCAGCAGTAGCCATTTGACAATATTAAGGTTGCTGCTACATTTTTTTAAAGCTGATTCTGTAGCCCCTGTAAAATTCACAAAAGAAGTCAGATCAGTTTGAAAGTTGGGAGGATAAATCTGAAGCCAGGATAAACTTTGTGGGAAAAATATGAAGATACTTGAACAATGGGGTTCAGAGACAATGGGTACCCTAGAATTAGGTGTTTTAAAAGTTTCAAACATCTAATGCTTTTTCTGTACACAAATAGGGAAGAAACAGTAAGTAAGGTAATCATGGAACTTATATAGCTAGACTCTTCTTGTTGACATCTAGTGCATGGTATCATCAGAGGTCTAAAATCTGAAATATGAAAAGTTATCAGACCTTCTTTTTGGCACTACGGAATGGAATGACAGAAAGCTGGCAATCTATACACTGCTAGCAGAGAGCACAAGCTTCCTAGCTGAGCTGTTAACTGTACTTCCAGCTTCACCCTAATCCATTCAACAAGAGGCTTGGCAAGGACAGGAAGAAGAGAAGGGGAGAACTGACAGCTGAAGCTGTGACAGGTGTGTAGATAACAGCTCAGCTCCTCTTCCAGCAGCTCTTGCCAGCATACTGGGTTTAGGGACAAGTTCTATTAGAATCACAGAATCATAGAATATAAGGGTTGGAAGGGACCCCAGAAGGTCATCTAGTCCAACCCCCGGCTCGAAGCAGGACCAAATCCCAGTTAAATCATCCCAGCCAGGGCTTTGTCAAGCCTGACCTTAAAAACCTCTAAGGAAGGAGATTCTACCACCTCCCTAGGTAACGCATTCCAGTGTTTCACCACCCTCTTAGTAAAAAAGTTTTTCCTAATATGCAATCTAAACCTCCCCCACTGCAACTTGAGACCATTACTCCTCGTTCTGTCATCTGCTACCATTGAGAACAGTCTAGAGCCATCCTCTTTGGAACCCCCTTTCAGGTAGTTGAAAGCAGCTATCAAATCCCCCCTCTTTCTTCTCTTCTGCAGGCTAAACAATCCCAGCTCCCTCAGCCTCTCCTCATAACTCATGTGTTCCAGACCCCTAATCATTTTTGTTGCCCTTTGCTGGACTCTCTCCAATTTATCCACATCCTTCTTGAAGTGTGGGGCCCAAAACTGGACACAGTACTCCAGATGAGGCCTCACCAATGTCGAATAGAGGGGAACGATCACGTCCCTCAATCTGCTCGCTATGCCCCTACTTATACATCCCAAAATGCCATTGGCCTTCTTGGCAACAAGGGCACACTGCTGACTCATATCCAGCTTCTCATCCACTGTCACCCCTAGGTCCTTTTCCGCAGAACTGCTGCCTAGCCATTCGGTCCCTAGTCTGTAGCTGTGCATTGGGTTCTTCCATCCTAAGTGCAGGACCCTGCACTTATCCTTATTGAACCTCATCGAACCTCATCAGATTTCTTTTGGCCCAATCCTCCAATTTGTCTAGGTCCTTCTGTATCCTATCCCTCCCCTCCAGCATATCTACCACTCCTCCCAGTTTAGTATCATCTGCAATATATTCCCTCCATCCTCTTGGGGGCAGGATGACAGGGGTGGGGAACTCGTCCCTGAGACCAATACAGGAGATGAAGAATCAGCCCAGCTCTTTATATGGCTTCTCTATGCAATAAATTCTCTGTTGAACACCAGCAGGGGAAGTGCCAATCTGACAAGTGTATTGTGGGGAATCAGGATGCCACCCCTGACCTTTCTGATGATGTGCATGAACAGTGGGGAGGCAAAGATTTAGGTGGTGCCACGAAAGACAGCAGGAATGAAGTAGTAAGTGGAGACATGGATAGCCCTCCAGTGATGGGCCCCGTAATGCCCCACTCTCCTGGGTTTGGTAGGGCTTCTTCACCTGCAAGAGTGCTAGAGAGCTGGAGCTGCTGTACTCCCTAAAGATCACCAGAGCTATCCGCTACAGAGGTTGGAGCTGAACTCTGGCACTACCAACAGCAAAGCCCAGCATTCTCATAATGGTTTGATCTTGTTACTATTAAATGTCAGCAAACAAAATTTCTCAGATGTGGCACTGGCTCCATCTAGCGGTCTTTTATCTTTCAACTCCATTAAGTATCCAGGCTGCTTGTTTGCTAAAGTCAACACATAATGATGAGTAAGGACTTGCAAAGCAAAGCAAAAAAAGAAAACGTAAGAAGAGCATTTGACCATGATTTGTACGTATTGTACCATTTCTAACTTGTATTTATGCAGTGATCCCTGTTCAAAGCAAGATGTTCCCACTGCAGATGATATATTACTATAGCCCATGTAAATTTAGGACTGCGAGGTTAGTGTTAATTTCTTGTGAATTTTGATAGGTAATATTGATGTTTATTTTAAAATATTTTTCCTAGTTTTGACTTAAACTATTGCACTATTGAAAAATCCAGCATTCAAAATTTAATAAATATAAGTTTCAGAAATAAACAATATTTAATGAGATGGCAGAGACTTCCCTTTTTTGCTAGGGCAACCTAGGTATTTTTAAACTTCTCCTTTGAAAATTTCATTCATGAATCATGGAATATTTTCCACTGGTTTTTGGATGGGGAAGAAATTGACATTTATTAACATTTACTACTAAAAATGTAATCATTCTAGTCCACGTATCCTCTCCTCAAATGACCAACTAGAAAGATGTGAAAAATTATGAGGGTGAAGGGAGAAATGGAGAGTTCAGCACTTGGATTCATGTTATTAAATTGTGGAGAAAATGTAGGCAGGTTATTAAAATATTTGTGAGTTTCTTACTGATTAAGACAAAAATTAAAGATATACTGAAGGAATTGAAGGACCAAAATCATAAGTGAGATTAAGAATAAATGTATATGATTATAAGCAGAATGTCGAAATGAATTCTCAAATACATTTTACTATAAATCAGTGAAAATGTATAGTATTAGCATGACAACTTTTTAAAAAAATCCTTAATATAAAATTAAGTGTTAAAAAAATTATTATGGCTCTTAGACCTATTAAACATTAGTCACTTCTGACTCTCCAGTCAATAAACCTGAAGGCCCTTGAGACCTACCTGAGGAGTCGTCTTCCTGAATGTATCAGTTCCCTGGATCACATCTTTCATTATTTTTTCCTTGAGTGCATTGTACTCTTCTTGGCTCAGATTAATAGATTCCAGGTTTTGGTTACAAACTGGACATTTTCCACTGTAACGGTAATAAAACCACAAACAAAGTATGCATGTGTGTGAATAAGAATTGTAAAAGATCCATATGTTAAAATTCACTTTCATTTATTAACTGACTATGCATGCCTCTTTCTGTGCAAACAAAAAATAAATAAGTAATCAGAAAATGACTTGTGCCCAGTTTGGGCCAGATCCAAAACCTATGGAAATCAATGGAAATGCTCCAACTGACTTCAGTGGGTTCTGGATCAGATCCTTGGGGACATTTAGGGGTCAATTTCTGTGCCAGAGGTCCTAGTAGCGAAGGGAGAGGAAAGATGGTCCAGTGATTACAGCCCTACGCTGTGGCTTGGGAGAACAGCATTCAATTACAAGCACTACCACAAACTTCCTCCGTGACCTTGGAAAATACATTTAGTCTTTCTCTATCTCAGTTATCCCCATCTGTACTTTTCTGCCTCATAAGTGTGTTGCAAAGACAAAATACATTAAAAACTCAAATGATCAGATACTACAGAGGGGATCACAGAAATAGCCTAAAATTGACTAAAGCATTGACTGAGCTACCTGAGCCTTTCCTTGCTGACTCCCGCTTTGACATAGTCTTTCCCCACTGCTGGAACTTTTAACTGTGCACAGGGGCAGCGAGTTATATGGGCTCCAGCAAAATCAGGGCCCGGCTCCATCAATGTTTGGAGCCAGGTCTCTCTCCTGGTCCTGCCTGCCAGTCCACGCGCCTCCCGGGGAGCGTCCCCATGCCCCGCCCACCTCCCTAAGAGGGGCCCGGCCCCTAGGAGCATGTGCAATGACAGTGCAGGGTGAGTGTGCTGCTGCTGGGGGTGGGGGAAGGGAAGAGGCGGGAGAGAGCTCTCTGCTGCCAGTAGGGAGAGGGCTGGGGGGACCGTGGAGCCCTCCTCTCTGGCTCTGGCCCTGGCCCCGGGGTAGCCTGCTTGCATCCTGGGGTCCTCATCCCCAGCCCCACCCCAGAGCTCACACCCCCAGCCAGAGCCCTCACCCCTCCTCACCCCAACCCTCTGCCCTAGCCCTGAGCCCCTCCCACAGCCCACATCCCCAGCCAGTGCTCTCATCGCCCCATACCCCAACTCTCTGCCCTAGCCCTGAGCCCCTCCCACACCCCTCATCCTCAGCCCCACCCCAGAGCCTGCACCCTCAGCCAGAGCCCACAGCCCCCCACATTGTCCAATATAGGGCAACTGTTAAAATGCTTACTGTTTCCATGCCATTTTTACATTATTTTAAAAAATATATATTGGCTTACAAGGCAGGTGTGGGGGGCGGGACTTGGACCCATTCTGGGCACCACCAAAAGTTATACAAACCTGCTGCCCTGGACTGTGCAGGGGTGAGACTCTGGCAGGGTGGGAAGCATCAGGAAAAGATTCTGGCAACTCCTCACAGCAGGAGCCTTTCACTAAGGAAAGGCTCTGGCAGGAAGGAGGCAGCAGAGAGGAGGTAGTGAGACACTGCACTGCTCAATGTAGCAGTGTAGATGTGGAAGGCACTGCAAAGATCCCATTTTGCCAGCTACCCCCTATTAAACTAAACTGATATATTCAGATAGTAAACATCCCAATAACCAGGTCAACATACACTATTTATAAATTAAATACTGAGCAGCTCAAAATCCATTAGAGATGTATCATGTAAAGCATGTTCCAGGCAAAGAATAAGAGGGTTAGAAGGGATCGCAAGGGTCATTACCTCTGCCAAGATGCAAGATTTGTTGGGTCTAAATCATCCAAGACAGATGACTATTCAGCCTCCTTTTGAAAACCTCCAGTGAAGGAGCTTTCACAATCTCCTTACGCAGTCTGTTCCATTGTCCTACTGTTCTTACAGTTATGAAGTTTTTTCAAGAGATTTAAGCTAAATCTGCTATGCTGCCATTTGAACCCATTGCCTCTTGTCCTGCCCTCAGTGGCAAGAGAGCAACTTTTCTCCATCTTTTTTTATGGTAGCCTTTCAAATATTTGAAGGCTGCCCCAATCTCCTCTTTTTCAAACTAAACATACGTAGTTCCTTCAGCCTTTGCTCATATGGCTTGCATTCCATCCCTTTAATCATCTTTGTTGTTCATCTCTGTACCCTTTCCAGTTTCTCCACATTCTTTCAATACATACCATACTTGGGAAAAAATATTTTAAAATCCCCCAAGTCCATGGGCACACTTGTGAGTTAGAGCACATTAAAGGAGCCCCGGACGCACTAGCTCACTACCCGTCCACACTAGCAAGGCACGTAGAGCGCTCTGACTCTGCGGCTAGAGTGCTCCTGGTACTCCACCTCGGCGAGTAGAATAACGTTTTGTGCGCCCCTGCTGGAGAGTCGCAGCGCCAGTGTGGATGCCCTGGTCTATTAGTGAGCTCTGATCGGCCTTCAGAAGTACCCCACAATGCCTGTTCTAGCCACTCTGGTCATCACTTTGAACTCTACTGTCCTGCCCTCAGGTGACCAACCGTCAGACCCACCCTTTAAATTCTCTGGGAATTTTGAAAATCCCCTTCCTGTTTGCTCAGCAAGGCGTGGAGTGCTCTCAGCAAACCTTTCCAGGTGACCATGCCTCCACACACCAGGCAATCCCCAGTATGGAGCAATGGTGAGATGCTGGACCTCATCAGTGTTTGGGAGGAGGAAGCTGTCCAGTCCCAGCTGCGCTCCAGCCATAGGAATTACGATACCTTCGGGCCGATATCAAGGGACACGATGGAAAGGGGCCATGACCGGGACGCACTGCAGTGCAGCGTTAAAGTGAAGGAGCTGCGGAATGCCTACCGCAAAGCCTGCGAGGCAAACAGCCACTCCGGTGCTGCTCCCGCGACCTGCCATTTCTACAAAGAGCCGGACACAATACTTGGGTGCGACTCCACCTCCACTCTGAGTACCACCATGGACACTTCAGAGCCCAGTTCAACAAAGCGGGAGGAGGAGGAGGAGCAGGAGCAAAGTGGGACCGAGGGTTCCGAGGCGGAGGAAGACACCCCGAAATCCCTAGATGCATGCGGCCAGGAGCTGTTCTCAAGCCAGGAGGAAGGTAGCCAGTGGCGGCGGCTGGTGCTTGGTGAAGGACAAACACCAGAGGAGGTGCCCGGTAAGTGGCTTTTATTTTGGGAAGGAAGTTATTCGGTGTGGGCTCTTGGGGCGAGGAGGGTTAGGGCTGCATGCATGCCTAGATGCAGCATTGATGTCCTCTCTCACATCTCGGTAATCGGCCTCAGTGATCTCTTCAAAGGTCTCATCCAGAACTTGGGCAATGCGCTTGCGCAGGTTTCTCGGGAGAGCCACTGTGGTCCTTGTCCCAGTAAGGCTAACTTGTCCGCGACACTGTGCTGTGAGGGGCAAGGGGACCGTTGCTGCGTACAGGCAAGCTGCATATGGGCCAGGGTGGAAGCCACATTGCAGCAGAAGACCCTCCTTTGCTTCCAAGGTCACCCTCAGCAGCGAGATATCTTCCAGGATGAACTCCTGTGGAAAATATGGGGATGGTGTTCAGTATTGGGGCCCCCTGCCACAGTTGGCTCTCTCCAAGGCACAGAAACCCAGAGGACAGTACAGCCGTGAAACAATCAGTCACACTTGACCCTGTGCTTACTCACCATTTTGGGGCTCCCATGGGTTATGTGCGCTCGCTTTGAGACAGGCAAATTATGCTATTGTGTAGACAGTGCTTGCTCTTAAGTATGGGGGAATCATTGCTCTGTCTGGTGTGAACAATGCTGCCTGTTAAGTGTTGCATTTTGCCTTTACAAATGCAACCTTGAGATCTCAGCCGTCCGTGTTAACATCGGCCAGAAGACTCCAAAGAATCAGAAAGAGGCCACGTAGAAGCAAGGAAGACATGTTGCATGAAGTAATGCAGCATTCAAGTAATGAAAATCAAAAAGTGCAGGAGTAGCGGGACAGTAAAAGGAGGATCCGCCAGCAGAATGAGGAGCACTGACATAAAAGCGTGGTGCTCTGGCAGCAAAGCATGGATCGGCTGATAATGGCGTGCCAAGCGGACTCTATCCAGGAGCTCGTAGCCATGCAGGCGGAGCACTACCACGCCCACCCCTCCTGCAGCCCTTGTCCCAAAACTCTTTCCCTTGTGCCCCCATGTCACCTCCAACCCACTTTCCCCAACATCTGGGTTCTTACCGCCACCAGCTGCCTCCATCATCTGTAGCTTCACCACCCAGCCCTGAAAACTATGACCCTTACTCACTGCACTCAACCCCCATCACCATGCAGTATAGCCATCCTGAAGTGCAGCACTCATTGTACAGCACTCCAGACATGAAGGCTGACTATGATAACAGGACATACGCAAATCTGTGATTGTACTGTTCCCCACCCCAACCCCTTGCCCTTTCTGTTTCCCAAGTAGTTGTGTTTCTTTTCAATAAATGGATTTTTTGGCTTTGAAAACATTCTTTATTATTGCATAAAGTAGAAGATACCTTAGCCTAGGAAAGAAACCGGCATTGTAAGCCAACGTAGCAAACACAGATTCCTATTAACATTGGAACCACTACACTTCACTCCCGCACAGGGCATTACTGGTGGCTTTCTGCCTCAAATTGCTCCCTCAAGGCATCCCTAATCCTTGCAGCCCTGCATTGGGCCCCTCTAATAGCCCTGCTCTCTGGCTGTTCAAATTCAGCCTCCAGGTGTTGAACCTCCGAGTTCCATGCCTGAGTGAATCGTTCACCCTTCTCTTCACAAATGTTATGAAGGGTACAGCACGCGGATATAATCACAGGGATGCTGTCATCGGCCAGGTCCAGCTTCCCATACAGACAGCGCCAACAGCCCTTTAAACAGCCAAAAGCACACTCCACAGTCATTCTGCACCGGCTCAGCCTGTTGTTGAACCGCTCCTTGCTGCTCTCAAGGCTCCCTGTGTAGGGTTTCAGGAGCCACGGCATTAAAGGGTAAGCGGGGTCTCCACAGAGCACAGTGGGCATTTCAACTTCCCCTACGGTGATCTTCTAGTCTGGGAAAAAAGTCCCGGCTTACAGCTTCCTGAATAGGCCAGTGTTCCGAAAGATGCGTGCGTCATGCACCTTTCCGGGCCAGCCTGCGTTAATGTCAATGAAACATCCATGGTGATCCACAAGCGCCTGGAGAACCATAGAGAAATACCCCTTCCGATTAACGTACTCGGACGCTAGGTGGGCTGGTGCCAGAATTGGAATGTGTGTGCCATCTATCGCCCCTCCGCAGGTAGGGAAACCCATTTGTGCAAAGCCATCCACAACGTCATGCATGTTACCCAGAGTCATGGTTCTTCTGAGCAGGATGCGGTTAATGGCCCTACAAACTTACATCAACACGATTCCAACAGTCGACTTTCCCACTCCAAACTGGTAAGCAAACGATCGGTAGCTGTCTGGAGTTTCCAGCTTCCAGACTGCAATAGCTAGCCGCTTCTCCACCGTCAGGGCAGCTCTCAATCTCGTGTCCTTGCACCGTAGGGTGGGGGCGAGCTCCTCACACAGTCCCATGAAAGTGGCTTTTTTCATCCAAAAGTTCTGTAGCCACTGCTCGTCATCCCAGACTTGCATGACGATGTGATCCCACCACTCAGTGCTTGTTTCCCAAGCCCAAAAGCAGCATTCCACGGTGGTGAGCATGTCCGTGAATGCCACAAACAAACTTGTGTCATATGCGTTCCTCGAGTCAATATCATCGGAGCCCTCACTGTCACTTGGCTCATAAGGAATAACTCGCCTGCCAAACGGGACGTGTTGCGAGACTCATCAACATACTCCTCAGCAGTTCGGGCTCCATTCCCGCAGACCGAAAGGGAAGACAGAGCACGCAGTACAAAAAATGTTGAAAGATGGCACCAAATGTGGACAGAAGCACAGGGATTTCCGGGATATGAACCGATGCATCACGGGGCGTTGGGACAGGACCCAGAATGCCCCACCCTTACACCCCCTTCCCACAAGCCACAGCGCCAGAATGGGAAGAGGTACTCTGTGGGATAGCTGCCCATAATGCACCACTCCCAATGCTGCTGCAAGTGCCAAAAATGTGGACAGACTGCAGCGCTTTCCGAAGGCGGGTTTAATTCAAAAGCACTCTACATCTGCAAGTGTAGCCATGCCCCATGTACAAGAACACCCCGGATCTCAAGTTAATTTGCCCAACTAAAATGTGATTGCCCCAATTTCTTTGAAATCAGAATGAGGTTTTTGTTGACGTTTTTTAATTAAGTTGTGTTGCCTATCCCTGCCTCAAAGACAAACTAATGATCTAACACTCTTAAAAATCCTTGGTGAACCACCTAACTTATATGTCTGATTGTGGATGAAAATTACAACCAATTCCAACCTTAGCTTTTTTGGTAAAAGGTGGCAGTGGATAAAGAAACAAAGGATCAGCTTTTTTTTTTGCTTAATTCCCCCTTTAGTGTTGCTTGGCCAGGTAGGTACAGGGGGAACTAAGCTAATCATGTCTGATCTCTCCCTGAAAACTTTGAGGGCTTTTATAAAAAATATGAGGTAGAAGACCTGTTTTCATCCTCAGATTGCACATGCCAACCACTGTCTCCAGGATTTTTAAGTACAAGTCAGCAGGTTGTCCAGTAGGCAGTACATAAAATGTCATTTATCCTGACCAGTTCTTTGGTTGTTCCAGGCTGCCAGACAAAAGGATTTTTCCTTGCCTCCTCTCACTTAAGTCTTTTCATAGATGCAAAGTAGAATGTTGATGTTTCACATTTTCCCCTCTACGATGCTCTGTTCAGAGGCTTACATTCATCCAGCTGTGCATGCTTTGAACTGAAGGAGGGATCATTCTTTTTTACATCAATCAATTTGTGAAGTTCTGATCTGCATAGTCCTAGAACACTGCCATAGATTTTGAGCTTTAAATGTTAAGAAACAGCAAGTCATTCTCCCCTGATTTTTGCACAGAGAAAAGCGAAGAGTGAGCCGAAGTATATTTCTTACCCAACACAACCACAAATACCTAATTGGCACAACAACCAGACTTCTGGTCTATATCAAAACACAGACCATAAGCAAAAAATATTCCAAGATTGCATAAATTACTGTGCGGACAGTGTATTTGCTGACTTCACACACTAACAATGAGCAACTTTTAATACATTCCACATACTCAACCCACTGGTTGCTATCACAGGCCTAAGCCACACATCTATATTAATCAGATGTCTGGCTATTTAAATAATCTAAACTCCTGATAAATAATTCTAAATACAACAGGCAAAAATTAGAACGACCTTGTTAAAACTCCACAATTTAAGAGCCCACAAGAAAGACCCCAAAAATTATTGAGTCTCCACCAAAATTATTAAAGTTATCATTTACAGACTTTGTTACAGCTGGCATATTTAAACCTTGAATCTTTTTCCAGTATCACTTTATATTAGTTAGAAAGATCTAATCGTAGAATAAAGTAAAGTCACATTATGCTTTGTTTAACAAATTCATAACATTGTTTCCCCAAGAGCCAAAGCCTGCTGAGTAGGTGTTCTAAGAGCAGCATAACCAACGAACCTCCTATGAGGTAAATTTCAGTGACAATTCAGGGTAACATTGTTTTTAGCACACAGTTGGATGCAGGGTCCTGCAGGGTAAAAGTAGCATACATTCCCCTCAGGAATTAAAGCTGATTACACCTCTGCATGGTTTAGGAAAGAACGTTTTTTCTCTCCCACACACACCGTTCCCTGACAGTTAGGTGCACTGTTCAATTATTTTCTGGAGTGGTAGGGATAACATCAGACTTAACAAGCTGATGTTTGGATCCAGCATACCAATTGCCATGTGGAATCCCTAAGTGGAAGAGAATTAGAGCTTTCCATAACTGACCTTGGGAAGTCAAACAGCCTTTCTAACTCTCAAAGAAAAATTAATAGTCAGAAGTGTCTAAGTCTGAAGCTCCTGATTATCAGGACTAGAAGAAGCTACAAGCTCCAGGAAGCTAGAGGAGGAAGAAAACAAGCAGCCTGTATGCTGAAAATCAGACTTTACAGCAGCCCACTCCTGCTCCCACAGCAGTCAATGTTTCCTCCCCTCCCCCCCGCCCCGACTTCAGTAGCAGCAGATGCAATACATACTCACATTTAAGAAAAGCTAAGAGAAATGTTAAAGAGTTAGCACCTGTACACTCTATTTTTATTACAAACCCTAAGCAGCATATAACTCAAAGATGTTCCTATCTTTGACACAATTCCAATACACATGAAAGACAAATCTGGCCTTCAAATTAGACTGACAATATGTAAGACACATTCACAAAGTTACAAATATTTGTATATTATATTTTGAAGAAATATGTATCTAAATTGTCTATGAAGGAAAATACTTTGCAATTCCTTGATTTTGTCCATACTGCAAATTAACATTTTTGTGTGTGCAAATCTCTGTGGTAGGGCCAGGTTCTGAGCAATTACATAGGGACAGTTTACTTAAACCAAAATAATAATTTTGGCAAGGGTCTCTGGCTCCTAACCACCTCCCATACAGGTTTACAGTCAGTAAATAAACAAACAGCCCTACAAACAGAGCAGCTCATTTCCTTCCCACTATAGTCAACAAAATAGCTTTCTCCTCCTGCTACAGGTGTATCCCAGACCCTCTTTAAGATGCAGGCCCTAATTAGCTCCCAGCTAAGAGCAATCCCTAGACCTGTCTTTGAACCCTGCCTGAAAGTTAACTCAAAATAAATAAACCCATCACCAGACACATACACTGTCAGGTTCAGAGTCTTCCTAAGGGCACTGTCGGGGTGGGATTGCAGATCCATGGCATCACCTCAGGGGTTTGAGAAGTCCTGTACACCCGCCAAAAAGTGTGTGTTAGAAATTATGATCAAAGAATTTATTTCAAAAAGAAATTTGAAATGACAGAATAGAAATAGTCCTTTTGCTTTGTTTTATCAAAGTAAAGTTCATGGCAAAAAAAACCAAACACATTATTTATTAAGTTTTTACATAAAATATTGTATTTACCTATTTTTAATGGTAGTTAAGCGTCCTTCCCATTTCTCTCCTGGAATACTAAAAACAAAAATATATAGAATATAAATAATGTTAGACTTCTGTGTCATCATTTTTTTAACTACAGTACAGCCAAAAGATTTTTTTCTGGTCTGCATCTAGAAATAAAAATAATAACTGTTTACATATAAGGAGAAATTATATGAAGGCTCATCTGTTATACCTGCTTATGTGCAACACCCTGCATATGACTACTTAAGCATTTATCCACAGTGGAACAGGCCTTGGGCCAGACAGAGACAGAGAGAGAGAACAAAAACTCTGCAGTCCAATGGTTAAAGCACACACCCCCCCGGAGGTGGAATACTTTGGTCCAGTCCCTCTGCTCCAATGACTCTTTGAAGCGGAACAGCTTCAACAGGAGAGTTTGACAGGTTTCAGAGTAGCAGCCGTGTTAGTCTGTATTCGCAAAAAGAAGAGTAGTACTTGTGGCACCTTAGAGACTAACAAATTTATTTGAGCATAAGCTTTCGGGAGCTACAGTGAGCTGTAGCTCCCGAAAGCTTATGCTCAAATAAATTTGTTAGTCTCTAAGGTGCCACAAGCACTCCTTTTCTTTTAGGAGAGTTTGAGTTAGCCCCGCATCAGAATACCCAATAGCTTACGAGTTACAGCACCGTCCTGAAAAGCAGATCTGCTGTTCAAATCCTTTCTTCCCCTCTGGCAGAGAGTGGGGAATTGAACCTGAGTCTTCCATATCCCAGGCAAGTGTGCTAACCACTGGACTAAAAGTTATAAAGTGGGCATGGGAACCAGCACCACTTCCTCTGGCCAGTTTGCACGTAGTGAGGCAGGTGCCTAATTAATTAAAAAAAAAAAAAGGCTTAGGCACCTAAACCCACTAACTCAAGGTAGCTGGTTCCCATCCATGCATCACTAAGCAGATATAGGCACCTCCCTACAGCCCAGATTTAGGAACCTCTCTCTGAGAGAGGAGTGGGGCTTAGCACACACCCCGTCATCAGCATCTCCAACTGGCTAATCAAGGGCTTGTCTACAGTGACACTTTACAGAACTGCAACATTCTTGCTCAGGTGTGAAAAAACACCCCCGAGTGTAGCAAGTTTCAGTGCTGTAAAGCGCCAGTGTAGACAGTGCCCTAGCGCTGGGAGCTACGCCCCTCGTGGAAGTGGTTTTTCTAGAACGCTGGGAGAGCTGTCTCCCAGCATTCTGCCGCGACCACACGAGCCACATTAAAGTGCTGCTGCAGCAGTGCTTTAACATTGCCATTGTCGACTAGCCCTCCGTCCAGTGCTGGCTTTTATGGATTGCACTTCTTAGGTGACCATCTCTCCCCATTCACTGAATAGGGAGCCTAGGCAAATAACTTGGTTTCGTGGATCACCATGTTGTTCCTGTGCCTAGACATTAGGCACTGTGACACTAAGCATTACAAGGCCTAAGTCTCTTTATGGATCCCACACAAAGTCACTGCAACTTGACTCTGCAGTGCTTGCATTGGGACCTTTTGACACTGCATCATCACAGTGCCAACACACACACCACTACACTGCATTGGCCACAATGATATATGAGGTTCTTTACCTGTCTTGAAAGATAAGAGAAAACAGGAAACCCTATTACCCTTCCTCCCATCAACTCAACTCTGTACATGAGCAGGCTTTCCCCCTGACCAAAATATGATGAGGCTGTCCTCTTTTATTCCCACTAACAAGATTTTTTTTTTAAAATTACAGTTCTGCTCTGAGAAGCAATTATGCAAAAACTGCACTTTCTTATTCAACAGATCTCATTCTTGTGTGTACAGATCTCATTCTTGTGTACTAACATCTGCTGACTTCAGGGCCTTCTACTGAAATTACTCTGGTTACCCTCTGAGCCAACACATATTAGAAGGAATGAGCCAGAATTTGTTTTCTCATGGCATTTGCTGTTTTCTTGTACCAGAGAGGAAAACTGTCTCAATTTTGTACAATTTACCACTTCTCTCCCCTAGTACATCAGAGGCAATTCTGACACTCATCAACGTTCAGTATTTGCTATTAAACATAACAAACCAAGGATGAGAACTGGTGAAGACAAAAATGTGGGACTCATCAGAATATGCTACACCTATACCCTATACGAAAAATGCAAAATGAAAAGGTAAAAATTGTGATAGGAAATTCAGACCTGGCAAAATTTTCTACTTACAGTAGAAATAAAGAGATTATGACAGTGCTTTTTTTAAAAAAAAAAGGAAAAACAACATAAAATGATAAAAGGTTTCAGGGATTTACACTGGCTTTTGGACTTCGGTCTTAATGGATCACAGAGTCAATTCCCATTAACCAGTAACAGCTTTTGAAATAATATTTACCTTTCAAACCATAGCTTTATGCTTTGCATAAGAGCTTCTCCAGGATATAGTTGATTTTCTCTCAGATACAAGAGAATTCCTAAGAGTTCACTTTTTAACTGATTATCCTTCACACATTTGCCAGTATCAAAAAAGACTTGCAGCGTATCCAAGTTTGGTATCAAATCCTTAGCCAGCATTTCATGATACAGTTCACATGCCAAGTTTATTTCTTGGTTATTGAGAGCCCCTTTGATACAATTTCCATAGTTCCCTTTTGACGGGGTCATGACTTTTTTTATCTCTTCCAGTAGCAACAAGGCCTCTCTCCACCGATCGGAACCATTCAGCCCCTTGATCAGAAGGCTGTAGGCCCCCGTTTCTAAAGTCTTAAATCTGACTTTCATTATATCATAGACATCACAAACTTCTGCCATCTGCTCCTGCCGGACACACAGAGCCAGGTACTTGACCAATAAATTATAACTGATGTCACCTTTTCTCATTGCCACCATAGACAACAAGGACTTGGCCACATCTATGGAGCTGTTGCATTTGATCATTTGCTCTAGCATTACATCTTCAAACTTGCTAATTCCCTTAAATTCTCCCCTCAGCTCTTCCCATTCCGCCACACTCAAAGGTTTTTCTGGTGGCCGGATACCATTCTTTTTAGATATCATGAGCAGTTCCTCTTGATTCTTTGATCTCCTCTTGGCAGCTCCAGCAGAGAACAGGGAAAACGGATGAGGAGAAGAGGTGTCTGTTCTGTCTTTGCCCCCCCTCTCCTCTCCATTTCTACCTTCAGATCTGGTCTTAGTAGACAGCATATGAGTTGCTTTGGGATCCACTGGTACTGCAGATGGAGAAGTGGTAGTAAAAGGGAAACATTTAACATGTTCCCTGTTCAGAAGTTGGAAGATGACAGCAAACAGCTGTTGGTGCCTTGGAACAGGCCAAAACATGTGGTATTTCCCCAAAGTCTGCAAACCCAAGAAGCTAGTGGGAAGGAAGAAAGCCATGATAAGGAGAATGCATATACGGGGAACACTCCCCAGGAGAGATCTAGTGGGAAGTGAAGTTTGTGTGAGGAAGTTTACAGTAAAAGTCTTAAGGGGTGTCAAGCGGTGAAAGTTTTTGAATAAAGGTCACAAGGGAGCTTTTAAGACTCTCATTAAAACAAAAATAGCAAAATCCTTCAATCACCAAAGAAAGAAATATTTTAAACTACCAAACTATTAATACAAAGGGTGAAGGAGCATCTCTCTTCCCAGGAAAAAGACTTGACGGTTCTGTACTTTATTGTGCCTGCTCAACGGCTGAGGCTGTTTAAGGTTTATCATAAATATGTGCTATAAAAATGGGGAGCAGCGATGTGAACTTCCTAAGAACTAAGAGCTGTTCTGCCGCTTTCATCCAAATCAGATCAGGAAATTACCTACAGAAAACAGACCACAAACAATACACTATTAGTACTTACATCTCTAGAGTAGTAACTTCAACATTACAATTCAGTTTACATTTTTACAACCAAAAAAGTGACCTACCTAACCTATTTTATGGTCTGGCACCCAAAATTTGCTTACCTAGAAGCCAATGATAAACTGCCAGTATTTTAACATGGGACTTCTACCAAAGCTCCCTCATGACTTATAGCTTGTGATAAACATCCGGGAAGGCAGGCATTCACATGCTGCAAACATAAAGGACGATTAATTTTTCTCACCATTTAAACAAAACCTGCTTTCCCAGTGATAACCATAGCTCAGGAGGGAGACAATACCATTCTGCAAGCAAGTTTTTTAATATGGGCACCTCCCAGTAAGCTATTATTTCCTAAAAAGTACACAAAGGATAGTGATAGCTGGGATCCAGCAAGTGTAACCATAAGAGAAGGGGTGTGTGGGCCAGAATGGGCAACAGGGGATGCATCATTTGATGATTACCTGTTCTGTTCATTCCCTCTGAAGCACCTGGCATTGGCCCCGGTCAAGACAGGATACTGGTGCTAGATGGACCACTAGTTTGACCCATTACTGTTCTTATGCGTTTGGAGGAGGCAGAAAGGATCCTTGTGAGAGACCTTTGTTGCCAACTCTTGTGATTTTTATCACAAGTTTCACACTATTTGGTGTATGTCTTAAAGCCCCCACTGCTGAAGGGGTGTAATTAGGCAAGGGATTCAGCTTTCACTTTTAAAAAAAGCTTCTAGCCAGCACGATTATAGAGACTAGCTGGAAAATGTGAAGCCTGGGCACCCAAAGGCAAAACCATCACAGCAATAACTTCCTAACTCCAGCAGCTCTGCACGTTTCCAACCTCACGCTGACAAGCCAGTCTCACAGTATCTGGGCCTGACTAGTGAGGGCTGAGTGCTTGGGCCTGTGGCAACAGCACAACGTGCGCGTCCTCTCCGCAGACCCGGGAGAGGATCGCTGCCCCCCGGGACGTGCACCCCGAGCCGCTCCGAGACGCTGCAGTGAGCCGCGGGGCTAAGACCCCCCGCACAAGCTGGGCCGGCTCAGCCGCATCCAGAGCCAGAGCGCAGGCAGCGGCCTCCTTTGGACTCAGCGGGAGCCCGTGGGAGCCACCTACCCCTGGCAGCGGGGCGACGGTTCGCTGCAGCTCACACCTCACGTGCCCTGGCCCCCGTGACGACTGCTGCCCGCACGCTGAAAACTGCAGCTCCCAGCATGCAGTGCAACCCGGCTGCCTGTGCAGGGCGCGCAGCACGCACCGGGGCGGGGGACGTAGTCTCTGTGGTCCAATTGCGGGCCATGCCTTTTCTGCCTTCCCCATGCGGACCAGTCTCAGGCGAGGCGCTGCCGGTGTCAGTATCGCAGCGCGGAGCGGCTCTGGAGGATGCCACTCACCGCCGCAGGGGGCGGGTCCCGTAATGGCGGAGCCGCGCCGGCCAGTCGCTCTACGCAGGGAAGAGCTTTTCCTCTGGACTTGCTCTCTGTCCACGGTCCCTCCGCCAATCAGGGCTCTGTATGAGGCTCAGCACTGTCCAGACTGCGTGCTCGTGTGTCGCATGTGATCACAGGGATCCAATGAGAGCAGAGCACAGTAAAGCGGCCTTAGTTGGCCGTGGCCGCCATATTGGTTACGGGCAGGGTGTCAGCGCCAGTCGCTTTAGTCGGCCGGGGACGTACGGAGTGTGTGGGAGAGGTCGCAGGCGTCGGAAGTAATTGCCAGGGCCCTTAGCAGCTTCGTACCCGCACCTAGCATGGTGGTTAGATGGTGGAGGAACAGTAACCCGGCTGTGTGGCCGTTGGGGCGGGGCGTTGTGGGGCATGGAGTGGAAGCAGGCGTTGCGGGGCCGGCTGGCCGCCTGCACCGGCCGTGAGTGCGCGGGAAACATAGAGCGAGCGGGAAGGGGGGCGCAGAGGCGGCGGGGTCCCACAGAGAGAGGGCGGCAGCGTCTCTGGCTCTGACTTAGGCTCGATCCAGCGCGGAGCTCAGGGGCTGTGCTGACAGCCTGGCCCTGCCCTGGAACCAGCCGCTCCCAAACTGTCTCTGTTCGGGCCCTCAGTGCCGTGAGCCCAGCGCCCTGTGCAGACGGGCGTCCTTGTGACAAACCACCGTGACTAGTAGGTGCCAGTCCCGCCCCGGTAGGCTGCCTCAGTGGGGGTAGGGGTAAAGCCTGAACAGGCCCTGGAGCCCGATCCCTGCAGATCGGGGTGAGGTCACACAGGCCTCGTCTAGGGTGTGGCATTAGCTAACATTTGCTACCTACCACATCTGAAGGTCTAGTGTAGCGCCACTGGAGCTCTCTGTGCCCATTTGACAGGTTTCAGAGTAGCAGCCATGTTAGTCTGTATTTGCAGAAAGAAAAGGAGTACTTGTGGCACCTTAGAGACTAACCAGTTTATTAGATGCCTCCAGGACTGCGAGGCCCACACCTGGAGCTAGAGCTAAGGTCTCACACATACCGCATTTCAGCTCTGTGCGTTTAAAAAAGCCCTCTCGTCTTTGACACATAAAACATTCCTGCTGAAAATGATGCTACCCATAGGATGTTTTACCTTGCATGTTAGGGACAGAGTGTACTAGGGTGATGGGAAGGCAAATTCCAAGTCCAAGTGCTTTTGGGTCTGCACTGTATGCTTGTAATGTTTTCTTTCTCTCCCCACCACAATATACTGTTAAAGTGTGTACAGTGAAATCGATACCATATCATTGACTGATGCAAGCTAAAGAAATGACTTTCAAAAAAACACTTGGCCCCAAGTAGAATGTAGCTTGAACTATTGCATGAATCCCAGGAACAACTTGCAGGCTTTTACGGCCACAGAATCAGCTTTAGAACAATAGTGACAAACCTTTGTTTATATCAAGGACCTCAGCTTGGTTGGTATCTTTGATAGACAAGGAGATATGCCTATCTAATGTATTCAGGCACATATACCCAGCCCCTTGCTGTGGTATCTTAGTGCCTAATTAGTATATTTGCATACCTTTTGTATTAAGAATAAATTCAAATAAATGTGTAGTAATTTGTACTTTTATTTAGTTGTAACTGAATAAAATGTAGTGCTTTTTATTTCCAATTCACATTAGTGAGGAGGTTGGTATTCTTACAGTTTTCTTCAAAGATCAGATTTTACCACTTTATTAGCAATTACTTAGACATGTCCAGAGATAGTTTCTGACACTTTGAACTTTGCTTAAATACTGCATGGGAATGGAGTGGAGCCCCCTTAGTTCTACACAAACTTTAATTAAAAAGAAATACATGTGCAATGTACAGCAGTAATTTCTCTTCAATTAATGACATGAAGAAAGAGGGAGAAATAGTCCTAGCCCAAAAGACAAGTGGGGGTTGAAGCCAAGTTTTTCATGATAGTTAATCTATAATTTCTACAAATAGTAAATGCAAAAATTATAGATTAAATTAATATAAATATGTTTTAGCAACTGCTAAGCTTTCATTAGTCTTTAGTTAGATATGTGCAGAAAGTTATGCTAAATGCAAATGTAGAACATGCACTATTCCTGTGAGGGGAAAAAACCACAAGAACCTTGACTTTCACTTTATGATGAAACAAACAGGATCCTGAAACCCTAAGGAACGTGTGCATCTGCAGGGAAATTGGGCTCCAAGCCAGCCACACAGATTCTGGGTCATCTATGGTAGGAGCCTGCACCTACTTTGCCTCATCCAGTAGTAGTGCTACTCTTGAGGGAGTCATGTTGCCACAAAGGCCTCCCTTGTGAATGCATATTAAGACTCAGAGGTGACTCAGTGCTGTAGCAGAATTACATTTAAACACTTAGCACCAGAGAACTTGCTGCTCCCTGCCTTTGCCAGCCACAGCCCTGCCCTCCTCCACTCAAAGCTTTCCGACCACATGGTGTTAGCGGAGAGGGTCTTCTGCAAGCCTTTAGGGAGCAGACAAACATGATGTATGCCTGCTGTTTTCCAGGCATTTATGCTTTTTACTTGATGCCCTCTGCGGATTATACAGATTATAGTGACACTGGTGGTTAAAAAATGCAATTATATAAAAGCAAAATGGATTTCCTTTAACCGAACACTTTGTTAAAATCAGTCTACCTGGGGGTAAAATGTAAGATATTCTGTTCTGTGTTAAGCAGCTAAAAAAAGTGAACAAGAGCTAAAGGATGAAGAAATGGAGTTGTTTACAAAATACTACATGGAATGGAAAGGAGGAAGAAAAAGCGTTAATACATCCTACATGAATATACCACGGTTTTATTACAGGGTAAGTGGTATATCGAGAGCTACTTAAACCTAAGAATATACCACTCAAAGCAGAAAAACTTTACCTATTTAATACTGGCATTTTAGTAGCAAAAGCTACATTGGGTCAGAATTTGTGAGAGCTGTGTTGTGAGTGTTTTTCACTTCTAGTTGTGGATTTAATGAATCTCATACAGCTGCTGAGGAGGATCTTATTAACCCATGAAATAGTTTGCTAATGCTGTAGACAATTGGTTAATTACGTTAGCCATTGAGCAACATAAAATATGTATTTTCTCTCTTTTCAAAACTTGAAAGCCTACTTCCCATCTTTTCCAACCTTTACACGCAATTCATGACCCTGGAATGCCAGTATCGTGAAGTCCCTACCTAGTTTCCTGAGCATTTGCAGAAGGTGTCACACAATTAGTTTGACAATAGTTATACATTTGTCACAACAGCCTATTGTGTGATTTTTTTTCTCTACGCTTCCCAACCTTTCTTGGATGAATGATTGAGCGCTCTCTCCCTATGACAATGTCATATCAAGCCCTGTGATCTGGAAACCACCTTTTCTATTTTATTTTCTGCATTCCTGTCTCATTAGCCATGAATAAGATACTCATTTTGCCAAAAGGATGGGTCACTGGTCTTGTAGACTAAGGGTAGAGTTGTTGCTTATATTATCCAACAGAAGGAGTTGGTCAAGCACTTCACCTCTGTAAGAAAGAAACCAGTGGTCAGTCCAGAGCCACGTTTTTTTGACAGTCGCCCTTCGTATTATAGCATAGAATGCTCATGTCAGCCTTGTATTTGTGTTAGTTTTCTTGAAGCACTTCATTATTTGAAAAAAAAAATCAGACTCTTCAATGCAAAGTAGTAATTAATACTTTTTTTCCTACCAAAGGTAATAAACTTGAAAGCAGGGGGGAAAAAGTTACCAGAAAATGAAATAAGAATTATTAACCTTACAATAAAAATAGAATTGTCTGTCCTAGACCTTTAAGTAATCAGTAAAAACTATTTTGGTCTACTTTTTCACATATGTATCCATTATATAAAATAGTATCTTCCTAATTACAGTATTGCTGGGGATTGAAGATGCTCTTACTGAAATATAGATTGCACTGACATCCCATACATCCTCAGGGTCTAGTAACATCCATGGCATACATCTGAGGGTACTGTTTGCAAAAGTACTTAATGAAGCAGCAATATGAAATTTACACATTGAAAATGCTTGTAAATTCACAGGAACTATATTAAGGATTTTAGGTTACATTGACCAGGATATTGCTCAGTGTCAGATGTTTGGCAATAGTTATACCATGCAAAAGATATGAAAAGGTATTTTTATGCATCAATCAAAGTTGGGCTATAAACCAAGAAGTAATAGGAGACAGTGACTTGAGACATTTTGCAGTTGTTTGTCTTTCATGAGATCAGAAACTGAGATCTTGCAGTGGTTTTGGCTCCATAGCAAACATAATTCCAGTTCATATTACAAAGTTTATAATATCACTATGGAAATATTTAGGATATATATAATACACGATAAAAACATCCCCCTTCCTTCTGTCCTATTTTTTGGTAGATTGCATATTGTTACAGATTAGACTGTAAACTCTTTGTAAGACAGAAACTTGTATTCTGATGTGCTTGTAGAACACCTAGCAAAACAGGACCCTGATCATGATTGGGGCTTAAGGAATGCAATACAAATAATAACATTGTGATATTTTTAGCTACCAGCTGAGGATGAAGTCTTACTGCAGAAATTAAGAGAAGAATCTAGAGCAGTCTTTCTACAGAGAAAAAGTAGAGAGCTGTTAGATAATGAAGAGCTGCAGGTAAGAAGGCACTAAGAATGTATCATTTCTTA